TCATCTATTCATGCATTGTACTAGATTTTATTATAATTCACTATATAATTACCTCAACTTCTCACCTTAAGTTTTGTGGCGCTTCTCCAAACAAACTACAAATTTCCCTAATTTGTTTCAAGGCTGGAATGACCCATTTGTCATTTGTGCGGAGTTCTTCTATAAAACGATCTATCCACTGTATTTTTTGTGTATCTCTATCCTTCAGGAAAAGAAAAGGAAGCATAAACATGAAGGACAGAGGATAAAGATAGGCCGAAAATGAACTACAAAAAGTAAGATCATCCTGGGCAAAAGCAGAGAAAACCTATTCCTAAATAATACATGCCAACTATCAGTATAACATCAAGTTGCTTCCTTATTCCGCTCTTGTACATGGAAAGCTTAAGTTCTGTCAGAATCTGGGCCAGCTATTATTTCTATACCACATGTACCAATTATTTATGTAATATGGCCCTCCATCTCTTATACATGACACTAGGTGAATAGCAATTAAAACAAAATAAAAACAGAATAAAATGAAACCAATAATTAAAAATGTAAATAACAGGTGCAGGCCATCCATACCTCTATGAGTAAAACTAGATCCCCCTCAGAACTCAATCCCAATTCTCTCTGCAAATCTGGACTGCTATGGAATACCACATGACTTTGTTTCCCATAAGCCCCTAATGAAAGAGCCACGGTAGTGCAGTAGTTAGAATACAGTACTGCCACCTACTGCAAGCTACTTCTGCTGATCATTGGCTGCTTGCAGTTTGGTAGTTCGGGTCTCACTGGCTCAAGGTTGACTCAGCCTTCCATTCTTCTGAGGTTGATAAAATGAGGACCCAAATTGTTGAGGGCAATATGCTGACTCTATAAACTGCTTAGAGAGGGCTGTAAAGCGGTATATCAATCTCAGTGCTATTATTATAATCAACACCAGTTTGAGAAGACTGGCAAGCTCAAAATTAGATTGCCACCAAAACTATAGCACTCAAAAAGTTTAAATAAAAATTATATTAGACCCCTGATTCAAGAGCAATCTTCCACTACATAGACACAAAGAAAGGAATAAAAGAGCAGCCATTAGCTACAAAGAGTCATTATATACTATTTTATATCTCATATTGCCCACACTAATTGATGTTACCTCTCTTGAAACAACTGATCTTATAATCATAGCGACCTGCAAGAAAGGGGATGAGGAAACGCAGAGGTTTCTGAATATTCTCTAAAAATCAGTATGTGTCATTGCCTGTTTCTATTGCGCTCAAATGTTCTTCCTTGCTCCCAGATTCATCCCTTTCCAATACTGTCATGTATTATTTTCCCCTGGCAATACTTGCCAATTTTGCAGATCAATCTAGTATTCTATATGCCCTCCATATAAATTGGTGCCCTATTCACAGCCACTTGTATACAGCCAGTGGTGGGTTTCAAAATTTTTTGGAACCTCTTCTGTAGGTGTGGCCTGCTTTCCGGATCCACTGGTGGAACCTCTTCTAACCGGTTCGGTAGATTTGACGAACCGATTCTACCGAATAGGTGCGAACTGGTAGGAACCCACATCTGTATACAGCTCAGAGACATTCTAGCTTCTTCTGCTAGTGGGAGGGGTGCATAGAAACACATCTACAGTAAGTTATCTGCAAAGTTCAGCAGGCAACCCACACAACGAAGCTGCCAAAGAGTCCTTGGAAGTTTTAATCCTAAAATGCAGGACAGAACTGTGACTCAAAAACCTATGAAGCAATAATAGTCCAGGGTTTACTGGCGGGGTAGAGCTGTGGGGAGAGAAGTTAAGAGCCCTGGATGCTAATCCATAAGAGGATATTCATTGAAGAAATGGCAGAATCCCTGTAAATAAGACCTGGTCTTATTTTTTTTGCACTCCAAAATAAGCACTAGGACTTATTTTCAGGGATACATATCAGGGTTTCAGCCCAGCTGGGTGCCCCTCCCCCCTGGCATGCACACAAGTGGTGGCAAGTGCACAGGACCAATTGTATCTGGTAGCAGCTGCAGCCTGCGCAGCACAGGTGAGCGGATTCCCTGTCCAAGCAGCAAATGGAGGCAGAAGTGTGGGAGGGGGAAAGGCAGGCAATCCAGACGTGCTGCACAGGCCACGGAAAAGCTGAGAGTTGGGCTGGAGTGCCCAGGCTTGGGAAGCTCATCTTTGTGTGGTCGCACCGGCAGCAGATGAAGGCAGAGGCAGGGGCGGAAGGAAGGCAATCCCGACGCACAGCGCAGGCAAGCTGAGATGTAGCCTACCAACTCTCGGTTTTCCCAAGGCCCATGTCTGGATCACCTGCCTTCCCCCCGCAACTCTGTCTCCATCTGCTGCTGTGCCACCACACAAAGATGAGCCTCCCATGCCCACCCGCTGCTCCAGCTCAACTCTGGGCCTTCCTGTGGCCCACAGGGCAAGTCCGGATCAAGTGCCTCCTCTATGCCTCTTGCTTGGACAGGTAATCAACTCACCTGCACTGTGTGGACTACGGCTATTGCCGTAACTGTCAGCCTGTGAGCACTTGCCGCCTCCTTTGCTGGCCACACCCACCCTCCTTCACTAGTGTTTATTTTTGGCATAGGGCTTATATTAGGCGCACATGTAAAAATCAGGCTAGGGCTTATTTATGAGATAGATCTTATTTTTGGGAAAACATAGTAGCTAGCATTTATTGGGCTGTTCCACTGAATAGTGAAGTGAAATTATTAATGGCTGATCGCTGGATCCATACTCCTGGTAGGACCCTTTGCTCTCAAGTTCCACATCCTCTCTTATATTGGGCATGAACAATCTGCAAGCACTTTAACAGCTATTAGTAACATGCAGTGGTAAAATCAGAGCTGCTTTCTGCTGAAAATGGTGAAGCAACCCTTCTTTCTTGGCTGACCTAAACAACTTGCTATTTGCTACTCTCCATAAATGTACAATGAGGACGGAGTACATATACTTGTCAATGTTCTTGGTTACCCAGCTTGTGCACACAAAACCAGAGTCCTATGAGGATACCCAGACAGATTGGGACCAAGTTGTCATAATGTTCCAGCTTTGTGTTTGTAAGCACCCACAAATTGCAAACCTCCCTTGAATTATCCACCTATAATTTTAAAATTCCTGCTTTAGAGTATAATGGGGAAAAACAACATATTTTTTAATGAAACATTAGCAAGTTCATTTTAATGGCTAACTAACAATTCATCCTTACCTGTGAACAACTGTAATCTAAAATTTTAATGTGGGCACTTAGAGCCTGATCCATGATATCAACTGGAACATCATCACTATGCGCTAAATTCCATAGGAGATTTAGTACTTTGTGTGCCATCACACCATCTTTATCATCTTCTGCAAGACGTCGGATTAGCTCAAGTAGCTTTTCACGTTGTTTTTTACTTGCATTTGTCCAACTTGCCTAAAAACCAAAGGGGAATCAATGGAAAGTTAAAATGCAGTCCTATAATAGTACGAAAACTTTAAGAAACTGTAATATTAAAATACAAATTAACATTATTTAAAATTTACATGTAACTACCGTTTCTCCCAAAAGACGACCCACCTTGAAAAGAAATCCTATCATGTTTTTGAATGCATGCGATCAAATTTAGCCCCACCCACAAAATTAGCCCTAATTAAGACCCTGCCCACCTAGGTGTACAGGGGGTGGGGTGAGGCATACAGGTAAAAAATAAGCTAGGGTGGTGATGGGTGGGTGGAGCTGCCCTACTTACAAGGCCTCGCACAACCCAACACCTGCCTCGCCTTCTTCTGCAGCTGCTTGCCGCCACTCCCACTCATCGACCCAGCCTCTGTTTTGTCTTCAGTTGCCTGCTGGAAGGCATCTGCAGCCGATAACAGAGCTCCAGATCAATCCGGAGCTGAAGGCATCTGCAACCGATAATAGAGCTCCTGATCGATCCGGAGCTCTGTTATCGGCTGCAGATGACTTCCGGCAGGAATCTGAAGGCGAACTGGGAGGATGGGGCGATGCATGTGTGTGGCAGCAGAAGAATTGGGCCAGCAGTGTGCTCCTGCTGGGCGGGGCTATCAGTAGCACCGCCATGAGGTGAGTCAATAATTATTTTAATATAGCTGAATTCCTACTACTAATTGCTCAGTATGGTTGAAGAAAACATGTATTTATATATGTTATTTAAAATACTGTGTTTAAGGCCTAGCCCTGGCCTTCTTTTTGGGGAAACACAGTGTTTTAAATAACAAATATAAATACATGTTTTCTTCAACCATACTGAGCAATTAGTAGTAAGAATTAATCTATTTTAAAATAATTTTTAAAGATTACATCTGAGTGAAAGCCTCTTTCCAGCTCTTCTAAATCAAAGCAAATTCATGCTCTTACAAATAGAATACCATTTTTAATATCATTTTAATGTATATTCCAATATCAATCAAATTTAAGTTATTAGTGAAACATATCTGGTTGCATAATTATTTTTACAATTCTTCAAGAAAATGCAAGAAACTCATTGGTTCTTTTTACCCATTAAGAATTCAACAAATCTAAACTGACCGTTGTCTTACCTGAACGGTCCTTCTATGGGTGCTGCGAAGGGAATCCAATCATGGGTTAACTTAGCCCTCTAGCCTTGAGACTGAGTTATGCAAATTTCAAAGTCACACCTCCTCTGACTGGACTTCCGTTTCCCTTCAGTTCTCGAACGAAGTCCACCGAAGGAGCATTATGTCAATTGTCAATCAAGCCGCAGGCCATCCGGTACTACATAGTCGAGTCCAGTCAGAGGAGGCGTGACTTTGAAATTTGCATAACTCAGTCTCAAGGCTAGAGGGCTAAGTTAACCCATGATTGGATTCCCTTCGCAGCACCCATAGAAGGACCGTTCAGGTAAGACAACGGTCAATTCATTTCAGATGAGAGAAAAAATATATTTGCTAATATTGGTAGATTGGAAGTTTCCCAGATATGCATTTTCTTTTGCAGCAATTTTGTACATTAATGTATATATGCGTTTTTATTGTTTGTTTCCTGCAGGCTGTACTATGGCGGTACAAGTTTTCCCAGCTTAAAGGATCTTCAGATGATGGCAAGAGCAAAATTAAATTTTTATTTCAAAATCCCGACACTAAGCAGATTGAAGCAAAGGTAAAGAGGAGAACAAGATTCCTTTACTATTATCCAATTATTGGTAACTA